TACCCCAACGCTGAATCATGTCCTTGATGATTTGACGGCCCTCATCAACAAGTCCTGCGTGACTGCACGCACAAAGAACCCCAATAAAGGTTATGCCATCGGGCCTTGCTTCCGAAGTGCCCAATTTTTGCATCGAGCGAAATATTTCAAGAACTGCGTGCGCATAGCCCTGTTTTGCAAAAGCAGCGATCAAGCTTGTCCAGGAAACCGCACTTCTCTCTGGCATCCACCTAAATACTTCATAAGCTTCATCAATCATACCGCAGCTAGCATACATGTGTATAAGTGCATTGTTCAAAGAAACCAACACTCGCTGATTTGACCCCACAAAGGTATCTTGGATATACGAGTGAATCCACATCCCCATTTTTAAATCTCCCAGTTCTGCACAGGCTGTCAAGGCTGCCAATAATACCACCTGGTCCAATTCCACTCCGGCTTTCCTCATTTGATCGAACAAATTCAATGCCTGTTTGCACTCGCCATTTTTCGCATACCCTGAAATCATAGTGGTCCACGAGACGACGTTCCTCTCTGGCATCTCATAAAAAGTCCTCCTTGCCCAGTCAAGATTTCCACGCCTCATATACCCCGCGAGCATGGAATTCCAGCTGACAACATTTCTTTCAGACATATCATCAAACACTTTGCGTGCGTATGCAAGAGCAGCGCATTCGCCACCAACCGCAGCAGCATAGAAATTAACCAACTTGGACATGAGAAAGACATTCGAGGAATAATAGCCATTAGTCAAGACTTTGGAGTGAACCTGCTGTCCCTCTTTCAAAGACAAAGAAGGCGTACAAGCAGCCAAAAGAAAGGAATAGGTGTAGGCATCAGGGCGGGCATCGGTGAGCAACATTTGATTGAAGAACTGAATAGATTTGGCAGGGGTTCGGCTCCGAGCATGAGCCCTAATCATCTGGTTCCAGACGATAGTGCTGGGGCTTTGAATATCTTTAAAGACATAGTGGGCAGAGAGGAGATGGTGAGCAGAGGAGTTGCTGTAGAAGGAGAGAAGGTGGACAAGAAGGAAGTTTTTAGTGCGGGAAAAGCCGTTGATGAGAATCTGGGCATGAATCTGAGTTACATGTTTAAGGGTTGGTTGTTGTTTTCTTTGTAATAGAGAGAACAAGCGTTGCTGTAGAGCTCTCGAAGATGGAGTGATGCAAGTAGCACTAGCAGTAGTACAAGTGGAAGGGGAAGAAGTTCTTGTCAAGTCGGTGCCGGTGCCGGTGGTGGGAATATTGACTCCTTTTCCATCAACTAACATCTGTACCTTGTTCTCTTCTGCTTCATCTAAACGAGATTGCGTGTGTGTATGCTAGTTTATTGCCCGCGCTATCTCTGCGGGTTGAACCGAAATTCAAGAGCACCATAGCATACCTTCCTGAAGGAAGAAGGTCTCCAAGAAAAAAAACCAAGCCGAAGACCAGAAAAGCTGCAGCTGCGCCAATCTATTCAATTCCAGAGTAGAAATCAGTCGTGTCAGAATAACTGAAGGAGATTGCTGCGTATGATTCCAAAATGGAAATGCACATTGGAGGCGGCATACCTTGGTGCCAAGTCCAATTTTTTATTTTTTATTTTATTGTGCATCTGAAATATAAAAAAAATAAAATTGATTTGTCTTGATTAATATGATATTGCCAAATAGACCCCGTAAAGAAATCACTTTGCTCCTAATAATTAGTTAAATAATTTTATTTAAGAATGATAAAATAATTATTTTATTATTACAACCTTTGTCTCAGTACACGATGAAACACTTATCCTTTTTAGTTTTTTTTTTTAAAATTTAATTAATGATCCTCAGCAAAAAAAAAAAATGATAGTCATAGTGAAAAAGAAGATTAATTTTTTTTAATACAAAGTAATTTATATAATGGGCAGAGTAATACAAAGTGACTGTAAGGCCAGTTGAGGTAATATTTTAGATACTTTGATGAGAAGCAATTATAAAAAGCATGCCTTCTTTCTAAGAATGTGAAAGATTATGAAATTGATCACCTTCTAACTGCTTGAAGCCTTTGCTCAAAATCAGTGTCCGCAGAATTCCTGCCAGGCTTTCCATCAAAACGACAAGTTAAACCAGGTGCCTCTAGAAGGAACACACATTTTAGCGAAAGGGTACCATTAGATGAAAAACTTCGGCTAGATTGAACAAAAATTTTGAAGCAGAATGAGGCAGCGTTTTTGTTTTCAAGGAGAAAGGTGGGAAATCAACATAAAAATTTATGTTGGTACTCTGCTTGACTTACTCATAAACATCTGGTAACACCTTTGATATGTCTGGTTTATAGCCTTCCAACTTTGCTTGCTTATTGGATCTTTCCAAGCATCTCATAAATTGAAGATGTATTTTCATGAGTCCTATCACCTGCCACAGAATCATGAACCCCCTCATTTATTTGAACCCAGCTTTGACCGGCAGGCTTTTCCACACCCATCGCGACCATCTTCCGCCTCACATTAGCCACATCCTGCCACTTTTCAGCAGTCGCATACACATGTGCCAAAAGAGAAAGATAACCAGCAGCTTTGTCAGGGTCAGGTTCCGCAACCAATTTTTTAGACACCTCATTTGGCTTAACAACCATGGTCTCAACTAGTTCTTGTGCCTCATCCAAGAAACCAGCACGACTCAATAAATCAACCATGCACCCATAGTGCTCAATCCTAGGATTAATACCCCAACGCTGAATCATGTCCTTGATGATTTGACGGCCCTCATCAACAAGTCCTGCGTGACTGCACGCCCAAAGAACCCCAATAAAGGTTATGCCATCGGGCCTTGCTTCCGAAGTGCCCAATCTTTGCTTCGAGCGAAATATTTCAAGAACTGCTCTCGCATAGCCCTGTTTTACAAAAGCAGTGATCAAGCTTGTCCAGGAAACCGCACTTCTCTCTGGCATCCATCTAAATACTTCATAAGCTTCTTTAATCATACCGCAGTTAGCATACATGTGTATAAGCGCATTGTTCAAAGAAACCAACACTCGCTGGTTTGACGCAACGAAGGTCTTTCGGATATACGAGTGAATCCACATCCCCTTTTTTAAATCCCCCAGTTCTGCACATGCTGTCAAGGCTGACACTAACACCACCTGGTCCAATCTCCAGCTTTCCACATTTGATCGAACAAATGAAATGCCTGCTTGCACTTGCCATTTTTTGCATACCCTGAAATCATAGTGGTCCACGAAACAATGTTCCTCTCCGGCATCTCAACAAAAATCCTCCTCGCCCCATCAAGATTTCTACACCTCATATACCCCGCGAGCATGGAATTCCAGCTGACAACATTTCTTTCAGACATATCATCCAACACTTTGCGTGCGTATACAAGAGTAGCGCATTCGCCGCCGCCGCCAGCAGCAGAATAGAAATTAACCAACTTGGACATGAGAGAGACATTTGAGGAATAATACCCATCAGCCAAGACTTTGGCGTGAACCTGTTTCCCCTCCCTCAAGGACAAAGAAGAAGTACAAGCAGCCAAAAGAAAGGAAGGGGCGGAGTAAGAAAAAAAAATTAAGGAGGGCCAAGTTAAAAGAGTTATTTTAAAAAAATTAAAATTTTAATTATTTTATATAAGGGAGGGGCTGGGAAAAATTTCCTTGCAGGGGCCCCGGCCCCTGCCAGCCCCCCCCTCCCTCCGCCAATGGGTATAGGCATCAGGGCGGGCATCTGTGTGAAACATTTGATTGAAGAACTGAATAGATTTGGCAGGGGTTTGTATCCGAGCATGAGCCCTAATCATCTGGTTCCAGAGGGTGGTGCTGCGGCTTTGAATATCGTTAAAAGACATGGTGGGCAGAGAGGAGATGGTGGGCAGAGGAATCCATGTAGAAGGAGAGAAGGTGAACAAGAAGGAAGTTTTTATTGCGGGAAAAACCGTTGAAGATGAATATTATTTTGATGCTTTTCCTCTCGTTCTCTGCCCCTACTTCTTAACAAGAGCGGGTATGTTAGAGGGAGGCGGCACGGTATTAATTTAACTGGACTGGGTTGAGTTAAGAAAAGCTGGATTGAATTGTACAATTTATTATATTTTGTGTCGAGTAAATATTAGACAAAATATAATAATACATTGTAATCTACAGTTTAGGGTATAGATTATGAAATATATTTTGACCAGTAATTTTAATTTTTTTTTAATATAATGAATAAATATATTTTTTTGAGAATTATTATTAGTGTTTATTTAAATTTTGTTTTATTTTAAATAAAAAAAATCCATAATTTTTTGATGTTAAATAACATGTTATTTTGGTAATTAACTAGCTTACATGCCTTCAAATTAACATGCGTTTGGATTTTCAAAATAAATAAATAAATATAAAAAATTAATTCGTTGATTTATTTTTATTTTCAATATCAAATCACTATTCATTTATTTGATGATTACGACTGAACCCGTCAAGAACACACATAAGCTAAATAGCTGCTTTGACTGTTTTAGTCATTAGCAAGTATTCTATGAACCTGATTCAAGGACATCTCACTAGCTGAAGATTCCTCCAATGGGAGGTGAAGAGTAGAATAAAATCATGGCTGAACCTGATTCAAAGGACATCTCACTAGCTGAAGATTCCTCCAGTGGGAGGTGAAGAGTAGAATAAAATCATGGCTGGACTCCAAAAGGCTTTCCAGCTTGCTCTAAATTATTTATAGAAATTCCTGTATCTTGTTTTCAGATTTATTATAAATCAAGATAAATTTGATGATCCCTTTAATTACTTTGGGAGTGTGTGTTTATTTTTTTAGATTAACGTGGATGTCCGGGCTAGCTTGCGCGCACCACGACTAATCCCACGGGCCCTGAAGTTAACGACTATGTAAGCCTCCAATGGTCATTATATGAGTAACCAAGGACTCGAATCTGAAACCACAGAGGAAGCAAACCCCTTGATCCTAAATCCTTATCACTTGGCCACCATATTTATTTTAGTGATGGGAATTGTGGTTTGAGTATAGTACTCACTAAAAAAACTATAAAAAACAAAAAATATTAGTTTTTATAATTAAATTTTATACATAAATAAATTATATCCAATCACGATCTTAACCACAAAAACTAAAACCAACACTCCCACCAACTATACAAGCTTAGAATAACTTGTTTGATGATACCTCCAATATTTGCTGCACGCAATCCTATAAATCATTGGACTTTGGTACGTCGTCGGAATCAAAACTATAGAAATCTATACACACCTAGTCGCGGGGCATAATATGAAGCACAGGCTATAAATCTTGATTGATACAAGCATTCAATACGACATCATGAACTTCAAACAGGAATTTTATGCACCAATCTCGATCGAACCACATCAGCGTTGCCCTCCTATCGATAGCCATCCATCTCTCAGGTAGGAAGACATCTTATCAGTTGTCAACAACACTCAACTCTAAGTATTACTAATCACGAAAAAATAAATTAATTATTCGTCGTATTTACTTACTTCACGCTTAAAATTTGCAGTCTGCTAGCATCTCATCTCATCTCTTCTCTTATCCAGGATGTTAAAGGATCACCCTTGGTATGCATCAAAATACCTATCAGTATATTTGCAAAAATATCTAACCACTCCATGCTAATGGGTGCCGCTGTATACTCCTCTGATTAAACCGCGCATGATACTACCAACTCTCACAGAAAGACCGGAGCCAGCACAAGCGTTATCGTTGCTAACATCTTTACGAGGACCTGAAGTGAAGGTCCAGCAGTGGATCCCCCACACTGCACATGCAAAAGAAATCCCACAATTTATCAATTGACTCACGCGATGCAGACATCAATAAGTAAAAGAGGTTAAGTGATGCCTCGTGCTCTCAAGATCGGAGAAAATAACCAGTTTGTTTGAAAAATGTCAATGTATGTTAATTCCCTTGTCAAATCAAAGGCTAAGATTTAAATGTGATCGTACGCAACAATACCATTATATCATAGAGGACTCTGTTGTTTACTGACCATGGCCCTTTTCAAGACCAAGACCAGTCAATCCTCTGATAGTAGCAGGTTATTCTAAATTTCTAATTCCTTTTCTTCATCTGATTCGTGTAGCTTTATTTCTGATTCTTGAATAATTTGGAAAAATAAGGCTCCCAGTTTTAAAACAAGATGAGACAATGATTGCAATCCTTACGTATCTCCAGTAATCGCTGCTTTATGACAGACACTCCCTTTGCCTCCAAGAGCACCTGTCTCAATGTACTTCTTTGCATTATCCCATGCACCACCTGCTGTGTTCAGGAAAAGAGCCATGAGAATACCAGAAACTGTTGCAAACATCAGCATGCAGCCACAACTTTAGCCCCAAGTAGAGAATGCCCTGTATAGTACCCCAAAATCCGGAACAGAAACCCTGCAAACAATATGAATGTCAAGCAAATTTCAGTTAATCTACGAGGAGATCAATGAAAATAAACAAAATCAAATGGCAAGCAATTAAACTACCAACAACAACAGGCGATATAATAGCCAAGGCACCAGGTTTTATCATCTCCCTCAAGGATGCAGATGCAACGATAGCAACACAGCGACCATAATCTGGTTTCTCCTTGTAGTCCTGTCACCAACATTTTAAAAGAGAGCATCATAAACCCAACATCAAACCATAACAGAAGAAACCAGTACAGGAACATGTACTCGCCATGATACCTGGTCTCTCAATAAATTGCCTTCGTACTTCATTCTCGACCTCCTGAGCAGTTTGGCCAACTGCTGAGCAGGCCCATGCACTGAACAAGAAAATAAGCATGGAACCCAATAATCCACCAACAAAAACTTCTGGAACGGCAATATCAACCTGGCAGTCAAATGGAAGTACAAAACTAAGATTCAGAGTTGTAGTAGTGAAGGCAGAACATAATAAAGTGCAAGTGCAAATAAGATTACCTGAGTGAAAGGTCCCCGAGCAAATGTGGCAACCTCGTCCATATAAGCACTAAACAGAAGGAAAGTGCCAGTGCTGCAGACCCAATGGCAAATCCTTTGGTTTTAGCCTTTGTGGTATTCCCAACAGCATCAAGAATATCAGTAATCTCCCTAAAACTTTCAGGCTGCATATCATATATCCATATATAATGGTTATTCAAATGAAAAATGCTGTTCCTTGATTAACATATAAAATGATCAAGAGTTACCTGCTGACTCATTTCTACAATTCCACCAGCATTGTCAGCTACAGGGCCAAACATATCCATGGTAAGAACATAGGATGCAGTGCTGAGCATTCCCATTGTGGCCACAGCTGTGCCAAACAGCCCACCTGTGGGATTTCCAGCCTCATCAACCAGTCCTGCAGTGTGACACAGCCAGAAAGATGAAACTATAGATACACTAATGACAAGAACAGGAAGGGCTGTTGATTCAAGCCCCAGATTAACTCCTGCAATTATGTTAGTCCCATGACCGGTGGAGCTAGCAAGAGCCAATGTGCGTACAGGACCATACTTGTAGTCAGTATAGTACTTGGTGATCCAGACAAAAATATAAGCTGTGATGATTCCAACCAATCCACATAACGCAAAGTGATCCCATGCTGAAGGTGCTTGCTCTGTATAAAGCATCAACTAGGTAGAATGCAAATAACTCGCACAAATCATAAACAGAAAGTGCAGGCTTTTGATGCCACAAATCAAAAACAGAAAGTGCAGGCTTTTGATGCTAGGTCAAATCTGGATATTAAAATAAACTATCAAAAGCAGAATTATTGCAAACAAACTGTAAAATTGCAAGATTGCAGCAGATAAATAATTAAGTAGAACATGGACATGTTTCAATTCTAAAAACTTATCTTACCGCAACGAATGTAAGAACTGCCAGAAATACTGTAACTAAGTATCCTTTCTGAAGGATTGCCATTGGATCCTCCATGGGAGACTTCACACTAAAATCACGAGTACTCCTAATTGAAAGAATTCCAATTGAAGATATGACCAGGTCAAATGAATGAACGACAAGAGGAAACAAGATGAAGCCAGATGGATCTGCACTAAAAAAGAATACGAGTTACAAAAGAAGAGGAATGGCCTAACTTTTTAAAAAAAGCATTAATGAATTCCTGAATAGGTAAAGCCTCACAAAATGCATGTAATTAGACATCTCATTGCATAATGAAGGCTCTGATTATGTTAACACTCTCTAGTACGTATAATACTGATATAAAACCCAATTAGCTGAGCATGCATGACTATGGCCATCAGACCATTTAACCATATCACCAATGAAGACATTATGAATTTCATACTTTTGTAAATTTCATTATTGGACAAAACCAGTGACATGCTTGTGAAGAATCTGTATGAACAAAAATAAAGATACTTACCCTCAATTTTGCAACGCTGGGCCACGGTTCCCCCAAGTATCATGGCACTGATTATTTCAGCTGCAATACTTTCAAAAAGATCAGCACCTCGAGCAGCACAATCACCCACATTATCTCCAACCTTTCACACAACAGTTTATTAGTTACAAAGCAAGTTTAGATTTATGCATAGTATACATCATGGAAAAGAAAACATGAAAGCAGCTAAGGAAAAGACTAAATAAATTTAACAACAAAAGGATAAATACATGCAACTTGTTACTAATTTGAACTTCCAGACAGACTTTATCCCAAATCATGTACCTTGAAATAGCGAATTATAATTAAATCAAATGCCAAAACCAAGATGTGTATTTCATATATACTCCTTCACATAAGGAAGCTGCAAATTTTTAAGAGCATATACCAAATCTGCAATCACTGCAGGATTTCTAGGATCATCTTCTGGTATTCCCTGCTCTACTTTTCCAACAAGGTCAGCCTCAACATCAGCAGCTTTTGTGTATATTCCACCACCCAACTGAGCAAACAATGCAACAAATGAAGCTCCAAATCCATATCCCACAAGGATAAGAGGCACTGGGAAAGAACATAAAACATTGCCATTTTAGTTGTATGAGACACAGCAATAAACTTCAGCGTTCACAAAAACATTTAAGAAGGTGAAATTGTTTCCATTCGCTATAAATCATATATATAACTTGGAAAGACAAGTTACATACAATCAGTGACCTTCATTGAACCAGGGGAATCCACACCCAACCATGCATAAAATGTAGCATAAAGGATGGCTTTGCCAATCACAGCCATGCCAACCACCACTATGGCAGACAAACCACCAGCACGAACAGCTATGTGCATAATATATTTTCCAGTTAAGGTAAAAATCACCAATTATTCAACAGAGAATGGACTATAAAAGGGACAACCTGCAATGCCTCTCTAGCTGACCGCCTTGCAGCACTAGAAAATCTAACATTTGCACGTACTGACACCTACATCCCAACATAACCTGCAACACCTGAACACAAAGCTCCCAAAAGGAATACAGCAACAGTGATATATGCAGATGTTGACCTGTATCAGAAGGATACAACCACAAAAATACTGGTCATTTGTCACCACGCGACAAAATTATGGACGCAATGCCTCAACAAAGTTTACACATGTAATCACCTTCCAAGGCCAGAAGATTCTTGTTGAGGAGTTGTGCTGCGGAACAAATATATACAGAGGATCACCAGTGCTAGTAGCATTGCCATCTTAGAAATAGTACCATACTGGGTCCTGAAGAAGCCTTGTGCTCCATCACGTATTGCATCTGATATCTATAAAGTAAGATAATAATATCAAGGCATGAAGCTGATACATATAAGTCGGAATCATTGACTATGCGCGCAGAGTGGAATTGACATTTCTAGCTAAATACAGAACATAAGGTTACCTGAATCATTTCAGGAGGTCCCTCATCCTTTGAGAGTACCCATTTGGTGAGATAAACTGAAAAAAGGAAGCTGATGATACAAACTGTGAAGACAAACACAATAATTGGAGAAGTACTTGCTCCAATGTAAAAGATCACCCCAAAACCTAAGAGCAAAAGCACAAGTAGAACTCGGACATTTATTTGCTTGAGCACTCGAAATATCTGCACAAAACAAAGGTGACTTTAGTCCACCATAGGAGGACACGATAACAATATCTTAAGAAATAGCATAGCGAACCACATGAAAACCAGATAAGGATATGCAATCCTGTTCTACAACGGATTTAAAAGAATCACATATCCACACCACACGAAAAAAATTAGGGTGTGCGACAATGAAACAAGTGGAAAAATACTAAATGAAAAAAGTAAGTTGAACCCAAAAAGACATGTGCATTCTCAAATCCATGTCCTCTCAAAACAAAGCCATAACAATTATCAAAGAAACGAGAGAAGAGGTGGAGCATTAGCTTTCTCACCAACGGATTATAGGGTTTACTGCGCATGCTAGGGAAAGTCCTTGGCCTTTCTTGGTTAGTCCCCAGATTACCTGTCTCAACATCATCATCGATCATCATTTTTTGGGATGAGTTTACTCTTCGAGGTATGGGAAAATGGATGTCCTCACTGCCTTGGGGCAAGTTGCCCCCTGAACCAGGTCGCTGAATTTTGAAGGGTGGGTCCAAAAGCACAACGAATCAACCTTCTCTTATCTTATGCAGTGAAAGAGCAACAGTTTGACTTTGTAAAAATACGAGGACCAGCAACGTAATGTAGTGTACTGAGCACTGACCTTTTTAATCCTATAAATAAATTAACTAAAGGATCCCGCTTGGCAGCCCTTCAACACCAACTCAACTTCCTGGAAGAAAAAATCCCAGTTAAGTAATGAAGAAATCTGAACTATACTGCGCCGTTCCGTGCAGTGCAGTGGCCACATTTCACTTACATTGTCTAAGAACCAAATAGGTAAATAATTCGAAGATCCTTTTGATTGTGACGGGTGAATTTGTGAATGAGAGCTTGGATGGGTTTGTTTTAATGGCATTTCTAGAGTGCAGAGTTCAAATGATTTGACTGATTAAGTCCAATCCTGATATCATCATGTGAGATTGATTATTTTAGATTAGGAACAAAATTAACAACAAGATTAAGATTAATAATGGGTTTAGCATGCAAAGTTAAAACCCCGGGCATGATCTAAACCCATAAACCAAAATCTTTGGCATTTGTTGAGTGGACGTTTCCCAAAAAAAAAAAAAAAAAAAAAAAACCACTCACATTTTCGGAAATAAAATTAAAACTCACAGCGCAACACTGAACTGCGTTTCGATCTCAGGGGATGAGAGAGGAGAAGGAAGATATGGATGCATGCGGTTGTTATTATTTTTAGAAGTTTTTTTATTTAAAAATATATTAAAATAATATTTTTTTATTTTTAAAAGATTATTTTTATATTTTTATATTAAAATGATTTCAAAATTTCAAAAAATATTAATTTAAAAAAATATATAAAAAATTTAATTTTTTAAAAAATATTTTTAAAATATAAAAACAATCGGTTACCATCCCAATCTTGTTTTTAAGTAAGTTTTTATCATTTTGCTCAACTCGTATGATTTTGATTCATCACATTTTAGTTATGAACAGAAACATGGCAATTATAAAAACACTCAGCACGGAAATAATTAGTAAATCACATCCTTCATTTGTTATAATTATTTATATGGAAGATCAACATTATGCTTGATCACCGTGACTATGTATCTGTAGAGAGACCAGAGAGCTTCATTTTAAACATTCATATACTAGCGTACTACTTTCTATCTATTTGTCAAATTCGTTATGAAGGGAGCCTCTAGGAGGAGTGGTGGTGGCGGTCCGTGATGAGCATGCTCTGGTGGATGCACCGATCATTTGCTCCACATTTATCCCAGCATTGCACATGTTTGCTATCACTCTTGTGTACTTCTTTCCATACCATGACAGACCTCCACACTGCTTCTCATAAGCTTTCACCTGCATATTGCAATTCACAAACAAGGAGGTAGCTAGCTTGAGATCAGTGAATGGTTGCTGCACAAAGAAAGATCCCCCATGATGTAATTTTACTAGTGGAGGATGTTTCTTGAGCCGGAGTACAAACATGTAGTTATGAATTAATATATACGTAGACTTACAAGGCCCTTCAAGCAATCCCAGTCATCAACAAGAGGTTGCCCAGAGGGTCTAACATGCTTCAGTGCATTTGCTGCGTTTTCATCCCCAAGCAGAGTTGAAGCAATATGGCTTAGGCTACGATCCACATGCCTTATATGAGAATGCATGCGAAGTAGGTCCTTGTGAGCCTCGGCCTTCTTATCAGATCCATCGGGGGCTTCTTGATACTGAGAAGATAATTAAAATGAAACAACTTCACATTACATTAATTCCCTTTCAATTACAGTGGCAATTCAAATTAAATCACCTTGTGCCAGAAATGAAGAAGAGTGGCTTCGCGTTGGTCAAAAGCTCTTGGGATCATAGAAGGGTATTCTTCGATATTAAAGTTGGTAGCGTAGTTATCGTTTGCAGCGTTCGTGCCCAAGTAAGAAGAGAGCAGCTCCTTACTAAGCTCCATGTTTCCATATTGCATGACATGAGACGTAGCTTCATAATCAAATCCTGTCCTTCTCCGAACCTACAGGTAAAATATTACTTACATGTTAAGAATAAGAAAAAATCATTGAGCAATTTGTTTTAGAATCATTAATTTCACACACACACATATTATACCACTTCATATTGCTGCTGCAGAGTTTCCTGGCTCATGTCGTGCAAATCACTGTGTTTATACATGCATGCACATGTGTAAACAGAATGTTAAATAAAATTAATAGTCCGCTTAATTAACTTTAAATGTTATTATAAAACTAATGATGAACCTATCCTCCATCCAAGAAATGCTAAATACATCTCCCAAGCAAGTAAGAAATTCTGAGGGAGGATCAGGGTAGTATCCTGGGCAATATATTCCATAGCTACTCTCCTCTCCATTTGCAGCAGTAATTGCGTATATGCTCCAGTTACTTGGAAGAAGACCTTCGAACATACTCCCAGACTCACAAGCTTCAAGGTAGAATACCTGTAATTAATAATTAATCAAGGAATACATTAGTAGCTGTGAGAATACTGATCAAGTTAATTAACTGTGTAATCCCATTTTAATTTCTGCAAGACAATTAATTAATATATAAAACTAGTAGTTACTTACCATGCTTTTATACGAATTAGCTTCCTGCTGCTTCTTCAACACTTGTATGAGGTCTTTGGCATACAGGTCTTTCCCAGTAGGCATACCTGATGATTTCACTCGCAAGATAATTTGAACTCTTAAAATTAGTCTTTCCATTGATAAAATAAATGCGGCCGAACGAACAGATATCACGTATTTTAAATTTTTCAAATACGGAAAGATGAAGATTTCTAATTCCAAAGTGATTAAACAAATTAGCTAATGCTTACCGACTAAACCTGGAGCACCATGATCAGCATAGTATATGAAAATGTTGTCATTTGGACCACTATCCACAACCTTGCCACTCCCTCCAGTAAGAGCAGATTTGTTTCCCAGAAGTACAGCAAATAAGTTGTCCACTGTACAGTTATCTCCAGTATAATCCTTAAAAAGGGAGGACAGAGAAGATCACATCAGAATTTGATTTTGTTTTCAAGATAAATAAATAGATAGAAAGTAAAACCAACACACACACACGTAACTTCAATGGAGTTTTATAACCTATGAATATGTGAATATTAAAAAATATAATTAAACCTTGGGGACTCCTGCATAAACATCATGGCCAAAAGGTTTGTTGATGATGATGCCGGGCCGGGGATTATCAACATGGAACGCAATGTCGTCATACATGAAAACAATGATGTTTTCATCTTTCAACCCACCTTTCTTCAGTATTTGGTATGCATGGCATACATCAGCCTAATTAAATTAAAATTCAAAAGCTAATTAATCCAACAGGGACATGAGAGTATATCTTATCCATGCCGAAGGTATAACTCAAGATATAGCGATACCTGATGCCGATAATTTTCATAACCAGCCGATCCGGCAACCAAAACGGCCCATTGTTTTCCTTCAGCGGTAGTGGAGTCTCTTCTAACACTCGATGGCAAGCTTGACGCACTAGTAGTACTGTTGATGATCACTCCCTGACTTTGAGCTATGGAACTTAACAATGCGATTAGGAAAAGAAATGCCCCGTAGCCATAGCCACACAGATAGGAGCTGCTGCTCATACTGCAATTCAATTAATCAACCTATAGTGCAAATCCCATAGTACTACTGATGTTAGTTTGTACTTAAGTCAGGGGAAATGGAGATACATTGTACATTTTAATGCTTGGATACCATGTCAGTACCATCTACATATAATTAGCTTAACAGTAAAAACAATAATGGATTCCAACCTTACTGTTACAAAAACAGATACTACTGATATTCTAATTGGATTATTAGAGTAGTTAAGGGTTAATAATTAGGACAACATGTATAGCAAGATTCTATAAGCAATTAAAAGCACTAGTGCTGCTAATGAATTTTAAACATTACCAGCTTTCTGACGACAAGAAAGAAATTAGTAAATAGGCATGCAATATACAGAGAGGTTCCAACTTCCAAGACTCAACAAGGGTTTCTTATAAATGAAACGAGGAGAAGGGGCTGATTGATTGCTAGCTTATTTATGATCATTTCTAAGCTAAAGTAACGGATGGTTTGGATCAAACCTTCGATATGACCGATAAAGGACAAGAAGAATCATATTAATTTATTTTAGGATTAAGTTATATGTCATGTTCATACATACAAAATAGGAAATCTTAAAACCCTGTCTTTGTAATTTGAAGCTTTGGTTACAGCTATAGCTTGCGGGGATAAAAGTTGCTTTGAGTGGTGGTAGACAAACGTGCCTTGAAAGTGGAATGGTGAGATGTTTTTAACGTGGTTTATGAGTGAATTAAGCTAAGTGACTCGCTCTTGATCATCACTACCTACTTTCATCACCAGGTCGCATCAATCAGCCTTTTTGTAATATATAATTATCCCAAAAGGAGCTAAGTCATTGGTCCATATACCTACCACCATGATCATGGATTGAGTTCGATCTTGTCTGACGTCCTCTCAGCTCGACGTTGCTTTTGAGTCATGGACACCAGAAATCTCATCATCTGCTTCAAATCTGGGATTCCCTTTGGTTACGCGTGCTGATCACATCTCCACATGCTGTAGGATGCAGTACATGATATTACATTTTGATTTGGGATTATTGGCCAATGAGAATATATATTATGTTAATCTCACAAATCTCAGGTTTCTTATAAACTTAAATAATTATTAATTTTGCAATTTATAAAATTAATCAAATTACATGAAAACTCACCAAACATCCACATATATATATATATCATGTTTTTCTTTCCCAATCATCTTTTCTTTTAGTCTAACTTCATTTAAATCCGATCTTTTAGAATTGTAGTAGAAATTACCAAACATCCACATATATATCATGTCTTTCCTTCACAATCATCTTGTTTTTTAGTCTAACTTCATTTTGATCAGATTCAGGATTGTAATAGAGATTGTAGTTTAAAATATTTTTTATATAGAAATATATCAAAATAATTTTTTTAATTTTTAAAAAAAATATTTTTAAAATCAACATATCAAAACAATCCAAAAATATAAAAAATAATTTGAATTTTTAGCAAAAATAAAAATTGAATTTTTTGGAAATATATCTTTTGTTGAAATACAATACTCTTCTTCAAATTGATGTTTTATTTGATTAGTGATTTTACAATCTCCATTTAAAAATCTCATAACCTATTTTGAGAAATTATAGAGCTTTTAGATTTAAATAAATGAATTATTAACCATTAAATTAAAAAGTTACTCAATTAATTACTAGTAATTTACTAAACCAATCATCCAAGATTTATAACTTTTTTCTAATATGATTTAAATTAGTAGCTAGTGTTAGCTTGTTATAATAGGTTTATCTGGTACATAATAATCACATCTTAATAAAGAATTGGTTTCAAAACGAAAAACCCATAGCTATTAAAAAATTACTATTTAACATGGTTTTTTTCTCTATATTTTTATAATTATTGGTTTCAAAAAAAAATTACTTAAGTCAGGAAAGTTGTCTGATATTCTAAATATATCAAATAGCTCCCCTATTTCATATAATAATAATAACAATATATAAGTTACTCACTAGCCTATATAAACCAGAATATAAAATTATGATAACTTAAAAAATTTTTAAAAAAACAAATAATAAAGTTAATAATCTAATAACCAAATATCAAATAATAAACTAAAAAAATTTTCAATAAAAAATAGCTTTATTGGAAGACAATCATAAAAAAAATAACAAAATAAAATATCAAAACGTAAAATAATTTAAAATTCAAACAATGCAAACCAAACATTGTAACATTCTCATTTTTGAAACCAACATATTAATTATAAAAAAAGGAAAACACGGTAAAATCTTATTTTACTTTTTTTTTTTTTTGTTGAACTCATACAAAGTAAAACAATATAAAAAATAATAATTAGCGGCTAAATTGAAAAAAAAAACTAAAAAAAGGATAAAGAAAATTAATAAAGAAATAAGGACTAAAATTGGATAAAAAAATCAAATGAAATTAAATATTGAAGGATAAAATTATAAAAATCAAGAAAATGATAATAATATAGCAATCAAAATAATAAAGATAAAAAATAAATTAAAAAAATCTAATAAAATGGTAAACGATGAGATTGCATAAAATAATCAAGAAAGATATAAAATATAGAAATAGAGCAATTAAAAGTAGAAAGACCAAATCAGATTACAAAATCAATTGTTTTTCTTAAGGTCAGACATGAATTTCGAGGGCATGAGAGAGAAGATAGCAGAAAAAAAAGAACTTTACTACAGTCCAACTAGACTTTCTTCGTGAGCATGCACAACTCCTTCTAAAAAAGAACGACTTGCCTCTCCCAATACTGCAGCGAAAGCAGGATTTTGATAACTAGATGGGCCCTCATGCGACACTTGAAAGGCGCAAGTGCTCGTTTTATGCTTACATGTGTTAACAAATTTTTAATAATATTTAATAACTAAGAATTATCAAAACACCCCAACCAGATTGAAAAATAAGATAAAAACAAGTTGAAAAATACTAAAACACCCTTAAAATTAACTTATATATATATATTCCAAGGTAATCCTGGCATCACATTATTTTTTAAAATGAAAAAAACGGAGAAGCTCTATGTACATGTTCATTTTTTTCCCCTTCGAATGATATTATTGTAATTTTACTGTTTTTTTTTTTTTTTAAGATCAAAGAGCCCCTCACTAAAAACTTAAATTTTATTTTTATTTTTTTTGGCTTTTAAAAGCAAAATAGTTATTTCATTGATTTTAAAAAGGTGACTTAATCAACTTGACTCCAATCAATTTTGCAATGAATAATATATCATTTGAGAAAGACAAATCTAACTCCGATGAGAGGCCAAATCAGTTTTATATCAAGGATAAAAATATATTTACACTACTTCAATGAATAAAAACTTATTTCCAGGATGACATAAATCACTTATGCCTTTTTTGCTTTTTTATATGTAATAACCCCCTACTACTAATAATAATCTCTAACAAAGGAGGAAGTTGTATACCCCTCACACACACACACACACACACACACACACACTTATTTATCTGTAATAACCCTTACTTCTAACAAAGTACTCATAATACTAGTCTCTAACAAAGGAGGGCGTTGTGCACCAAAAAAACAAAAAAGGAAGAGGAAGACGCTTCGAACCAATTGGGAAAGACCAGGCCCAAACCCAACAACAAGAAAGAAAAATGAATTGGGGTGGGATATGGCCCATGGGCACACTTAAAAAGGAAAGAACAAGGCCCAAAGAAAAGCAAGACAAATACATAGAATAGAATACAGCCGACAATACAATAGATTATTATAATACATACATACATACATACATAGAATAGAAAGAGGGAGAAAGGGAAAACCGACTTCTCAACGTTGTTTGACTTGTCTTTGGGTCATCTTGTCTTAAAACCCAAAAACTCTGCTCTGCTCTGCTCTGCTCGCCCCCCATTTCTGTTCCCCACGGCTCTACATACATGCACGCTACTGGAAGGAGAAAACTCCGTTTTTGTGTCTACTGCGTGCGTGTGTTTGTTCTACTTTGAGAGAAAGAGAGAGAGAGAGATAAAACTATCTATAGATAGGTAGATAGGTAGCACACCCTTCTTCTTCTTCTTCTTCTTCTTCTTCTTTTTATTGTTTCTTCTTCAATTAATTAGCTTCACTGTAGTAATCAATCAGGTTAACAAAATTCTTTAATTTTTTTTGAAATATGGAATCGAATTGCGGATGGGGTGATTCTTTCTTTGCTTCTTTCGTTCCAGGAAATTTCAAGTAGATTAGATCTATTTTATCATTGTTATTCCCTTAACAAATCTCGTTTGGTTCCTGTTTATTGAATTAATCTGTTGATAACAATAACAATGATTAAGATTTGATTTGATCATGCTGCTGTTGTGTTGTATCAGCACATAACTAATTAACAAGTTTACAATTAACTTATCATTAATATGCCCTTAAAACCCTAGTCAGCCCTCGTCTCCCCTTAATGAATGCTTTCTTGTCATTCATTGTTTCTTTCCTTTCTATTTTAAAGTTCTTCTCTGAACATACTGTCAGTCTGTACGATGTTTTTTTTTTTTTATCAATGATTTATGTGCTCAGATGTTTTCGTTCTTCATTTTGGTTTCGATACAGCTGCATCATTTAGCTTTTATGGTAGAGATTTTGAAATGGTACTAAATTGTTCGTTGCTTTTCTTACCAGGCTAACCCGCTGCTGCAATGGGAAAGAAGCAAAAGGAGGACGCTAGCGGTGCAGCCTCAAAGGCTAAGGCTAGCAATAAAGATGGGAAGAAAGAGAAACTATCAGTCACTGCCATGCTGGCCACCATGGACCAGAAACCTGAGAAACCTAAGAAGGGCTCTTCCTCAACCTTAACATCTAGTAAGCCCAAGCCAAGGTCAGCTCCTTCTTACACTGACGGCATTGATCTTCCCCCGTCTGATGATGAAGAAGAGGGGCAGGGCTTGGAAGAAGAGCAACAACAGGATGGTACAAACAAGAGAACCAATCAGCGGAGGTCTGAATTGAAGCCCCTTGATATAGCCTTGTCAGATAAAGAGTTAAAAAAGCGTGAAAAGAAGGAACTTCTCACTGCCCATGCCATTAAGCATGCGAAGCAGGAGGCCCTTAAAGATGACCATGATGCTTTCACGGTTGTCATTGGGAGCCGGGCTTCTGTCCTTGATGGTGAAGATGAAGGGGATGCTAATGTCAAAGATATAACAATAGAGAATTTTTCTGTCTCTGCTCGGGGAAATGAACTTCTTAAAAATGCATCTGTGAAGATAGCTCATGGAAGAAGATATGGTTTGGTAGGACCCAACGGAATGGGCAAGTCTACGCTATTGAAGCTCCTTGCTTGGAGGAAGATTCCTGTGCCCAAGAATATTGATGTGCTTTTGGTTGAACAGGAGGTAATTGGTGATGATAAAACAGCTTTGCAAGCAGTTGTTTCTGCCAATGAAGAA